AGCCAGGCTGCTTGGTTTTATTAACTCATGCTGTGTGATCAGGGTGTGTGACTTAATCTTTCCCAATCTCGGCCTCCTTTTCTTTAAAATGGAAATAATGATATTATCTACTTCATAGAATTAATGTGAGGATTAATTTAAAAAAGCACTTAGAACAAGGCCTAATAAGTGGTAGCTATTATAAAATTTTTATATGACAAGTTGACTTCCTTAGGGATGGTATAAACATATCTTCTCTCATTGACTATGGCTATAGAAGTCTGTAACAGGCTGATCTATTTTTTGACTCAATACATGTGACATGATTTTTTTTTTCTTTCTGAGAAAACAAAAGGATTATTTCTTAGAAAATAAGTAGTTTTACTGGGGCATGTATTGATAATGATCACCCCTATGTGCCTCTTCAATCTGTAGATTAAAATCTTTCTTCATTTCTGGAAAGATGTTATTTCTTGAATAACGTCTTTCAATATTTTTTGTTCCATTATTTCAGCCTCTTAAGAAGGGATAACATTTCAGAATTTATTGAATTTCTTTTATGTTTCATATATGTTTATAGCAGATATTTGTTTCCATTTTATTTTCCCACTATAGTGGTCCCTTGGTATTTGTGGAGGATTGGTTCTGAGACCCCCCCATGGATACTAAAATCTGCAGATGCTCAAGTCCCTTATATAAAACTAGAGGCACAGTGCATGAATTTATGCATGGGTGGGGTCCAGTGGCCTGGCCCCAATCAGGGCAGATCTGGCTGGACCTATCAGGAGGAGGAGATGGTGGGAAGTTGGTTGACTGGCCTGCCCAGGATCAGGGCTGGGCCAGCTGGGGGGAGGGGCTGTGGGCCAGTGGGATGGTGGGGGCCCACTGGGGTTTGGGCCAGCCAGAGGGAGGGGCTGCAGGAAGTTGACTGGGCGGCCCACTTCCTATTGGTTTAGGGGGGGCCCATTGATTGGCCGCCCTGCCTCCTCACATCAAGGTGGGAGAGGCTGATCCGGGGTGGGGCCAGTGGGGGGGGGGGTGAAGGGGTGAGGAGGATGGAGGTTGGCCACTGGCCCACACCCTCTGATCAGGCCAGTTGGCTGTTCGCAGTGGGTGTCATAGCGACCTTCTGGTCATTTTGGTGGTCCAGTCACTGGCTTTTTAAATATACACTGAGTGGCCAGATTATTATGATCTCTGAATGCATAATAATCTGGCCACTCAGTGTATATATGAGTGGTGTATGAATTCATGCATGGGTGGGGTCCAGCCAGCCTAGCCAGGGGGAGGGGACATGGGCCATTGGCTGGCCTGCCTGCTGGTTGAACTCCTGGTTGAGGGGACAATTTGCATATTAGTCTTTTATTATATAGGGTATATACTTATAATATCTAATACAATGTAAGTGTTATGTAAATAGTTGTTATACTATATTGTTTAGGGAATAATTTAGGGAATAACGACAAGAAAAAAAAACTCTGTACATTTCAGTACAGATGCAACTGTCATAGGCCTACCTAACTATATTTCCTATAGTGCATGTTAGCAACAAGGTAACTTTAAAAAAATATTTTTTCGAGGCAGGGTTGGTTGAATCTGAGGATGCAGAACTTGATATAAGGAAGGGCTGAGCGTTTTCTGGATTTTGACCTCTATATTTTTTAAAAATATATATTTTATTGAGTTTTTACAGAGAGGAAGGATAGAGGGATAGAGAGTTAAAAACATCAATGATAGAGAAACATCGATCAGCTGCCTCCTGCACACCCACCATGGGGATGTGCCCGCAACCAAGGTACATGCCTTTGACTGGAATCAAACCTGAGACCTTTCAGTCTGCAGGCCTACGCTCTATCCACTGAGCCAAACTAGTTTCGGCTGTCCTCTGTATTTTTTAAGTAATGGTCCTTAGACATTTTCCAGGTTTTTAGCAATTTCCCTTGTGCCATTTCCACTTCGGTCTTTATATTTATGGTTGTTTTGTTCCTGCTTGTTTCCTGATGTCCTCCAGGTCATGTTTTAATTTCTTCTGTTGTCTTCCCTGTATTTCCTGAGAAAATGCATCTTTGTTAAGTTTTTGCTTTATATAAGTTATTTTGGGGTGCATTATATATTTGAATATAAATTTTACATATTCTCTAGTAAATTTATTTCTTGTGTTGATGCTTCACTACCATTTGTTTTTTCCTATTTACACTTTTTTAAAAATTTTTTTTTAGTTAGAGGAGTTTTGTAAAGATTTTGTTCTGGGTCCACCTTGAATTTATTAATGTGAACTAGATGAGTCCTCCTATGAAGATGACTCATGTTAATGAGTGAGCTTTAGACATTGTCCAGGCTAACTGGAATTTTCAGTGGATTATGCCAGGTTCTTTATGACCCAAATTCATGACTGAAGGTTCCTTCAGTCTTTACTTCTTTGCAAAGAGACCTGAAAGAACTTTGCCTTCTTGACAGCCTGCTTTTTACAGAGTGGTTCCTCATTCAGAGAGGCCTTTCCTAGGTGTAGTGTACCGTGTCCATGGCTTATGTTAATTATCAGTTATAGGAAATATGTGCAAGCAACTCTCAACTATTTCTAAGAACTAAGTATACAATTCAAGATGCCAAAATTTTTGCAGCATTTGTGGGATGAGGCCTCTACCACCCAAGTGTTGTCAAACAATCTATTCAATGGGAGACTTTTAATAAAGGAACACATTTTTTTTTGCATGCAATAATTCTTGTTCAGATTTAAACAAGTTTTTTTTTTCATGTATGGCGTATAAATAAGAGGTCACCTGGTAAAAATATTTTTGACCAATATGATTTTGGACCAAAGAGTTAAGATTTCAAAAATAAATGGTATTTTGGATAAGCTTTTCATCATGTTTAAAAACAACAATACCGATTTACAAGTCCCCCAAATCACTGATCCTTAGGCAAAGAGCAAGGGAAGTGGGCAGGAATAGAAAGGAAAGAACTGAATAAGGAGAAGTGGAGAGAAGGGAAGGAGAAAAAAAAAATTCAAGATGTTTATGATGGGGTATAGGAGGGTACAACTGGGATCTCAGTCATGCCTGGTTCCTAGTCTTCACATCTAACTTTTAACCCAAATAAAAAATTATAATTCTCCAAATATGTTTGAGGGAGGTGCTGTTAGCCTAACCCAACTTTGAGAGAGGTTCTCAGTAATCCATCTTGGAAGCTGGGGTTGTCAATCCAGTCTGTGTTTCTGAGAGTCAAGCATTCCCTATTTGCTTTCCTCAGCCTGGAGAGCCCAGCATGGAGGGGCGGCCAGGCTGACTTCTCACCTCTTTGGGGTCTGCTTCCAGGAGAGCAGCTAGCCTGCCTTCAGCTTGTCAGAACCAGGCAGAAGGTGCTGGATGAAGTTTCTTTTAGAGAGAGCAGAATTTTCCCCTTTCACAGTGAAATTAGAACAGTGCTGGGAAAATGGGACAGGTGATTTCAATCAAGAGTCAGGGTTGTTTATCCAACCCGGCCCAGGGGGCCCCTAAGGGAGTGGTCGCTTGATACAGAGAAAACTGTAAATTTTCCGGGACAAGAGGCAACCTCTGCGGGTTGGGACCTGGGATCCGCACCTGCATGCCCTCTGACAGGTGGACATGGGAAGGAGGTGGGCAAAGTGCACCGCCTCGAAGTAGGTCAGAGGGAACTCTGGGTTGGTTTCCCCAGCCTCAAAGGAAGGATGTTTCCAAGTACAGATGCTGCCACCTGGGTCTCCTACTGAGCAGGGTGGGGCTGTAGAGGGAGTGAGGCAGGTGTTCACTTTCCACTAGGTCTCTGGGTTTGCGAGACGGAATAGCCGCCAGAGGAGAGAGGGAGCGATCAGGAGAGGGCACAGAGGAGCTAGGGCCGGCCTGGCCGCCCTGGCCGGCTGGGGCAGCCCGAGATGCGCTCGAAGCCCATGCCGGGCCGCCACCCAATCCACCGCGCCCAGCAGCCAGATTACCCGGGCGTCTTGCTCCCCCAGGGAACACCGGGCAGCGCCAAGCATGTCCTGAGCGTCCCGGGTCCCCGAGGCTCCCGGGCTGTCCTGTCACCACGCGGTCCCCTCCCCCGCCCTGGCCTCCGCAGGGCGCCAGCGCCGGTTTGCTGCAATGCGAACGGCTCCGGCCGCGGGGCCGGAGGGACTGATGGGCTCGCGGGGCGCCAGCGCGGGAGCCCAGCCCACGCCCACCTCTGCTCGCACCCTGGCCAACGCCTCGGTCGCCATAACAAACAGCCCCCACCCTCAAGGCCCGCGCAGCCCGGGGTCTCGGGGGCTCCTGACCGCCCCGGCCGGTGCCGGGCCGCGGAGGGAGAGGGCTCCCGGGATCCCCGCGGCCTCGCGTCGCCGCCCCGCCTCGCTCCGCGGCCGGCAGCCCAGCGCAGAGGCGCCCCCATCCGCCGCGGGGAGGAAAGCCCTCGCGTCCCCGCGACTCCACTTTGCAGAATAAAGTGTCCCCGGGGCCCCTGTCTGTGTGCCGCACCTGCTCGCGGCCCCCCCCCCCCGTGTCCTCCAGGCTGCGGGGCGCACGCGGCGGCCGGGAGCGCGGCCAGGCGCTCGGGGCGCAGGACATCCCCGAAGGCGGCCGCGCGGGCGGCGGGAGGAGGGGGCGGGGAGGCGGCCGGGCGCGGGGAGGCGGGGAGGCGGGGAGTCCGCAGCAGCAGCAGCAGCGGGAAGAGGAGGAGGAGGAGGAGGAGGGAGCCGGAGGGCGGCAGGGAGGCGGAGGAGGGAGGCAAGAAAGTAGCAGAAAGTGAGGCTGGCAACCCGCGGCCAGGAGCCGGGGAGCGCGGCAGCAGGAAGTCTGAGCTTGAGACCGGCTGACAGACGAGCCAGGGAGGGACCGCGGCGACGAGAGTGAAAGAGGAAACTGCAGAGGAGGAAGCTCCGCCGCCGCCCGCAGCCAGGCTCCTCCGGCTCCCGCGCCGAGCATCCCCGCGCCGCCCGCCCGCCCCCGGGACCCCGGCCCGCGCCGCCCGCGCCCCCCGCTCAGCGCCCCCCGCCCCACGCGCCCGGCCGCCCGCCCGCGTCTGCCATGGCCCGGGAGAACTGCGAGGGCAGCTCCTCCTGGAAGAAGCAGGCGGAGGACATCAAGAAGATTTTCGAGTTCAAGGAGACCCTCGGAACGTAAGTGGGGGCCCGGGGAGAGGAGGGCGGAGGGGCCGCGGCCGCGGTGCTGAGGCGGCTGAGCTGTCACCCGCGCCGCCGCTGCAGGAACGCCGGTCGCCACGTCCTCGTCCTGGGCTCTCGGCTCTGCCAGCTGCCCGCGCGCCCACCGCGTGGGTCTGCGTCCCGGGGGTGGGCACGGCCACGGGCCGGGAGCTCCGGGCTTCGGGAGGGGAGCCCCGCCGGCCGGGCGGGCAGCTTTGCTCTTCCCCCGACACCGCCGCCCGCTCCGCTGCCTTCTCGTCACGCGTGCCTGTGGGCTGCGATGGTGGATCCTCTGCTTGTTGGCTGTGCGCGCTTGTTCACCGTGTGCAGGGCACACCGTGTGAATGAGAGACGTGGTCGAGCTTCAGTCGCTCCCATGTCTCGTCCTTCCATCACGTATTCTTATAGAATGACCACCTGCACCCACTAGATGTGGGCTGGACTCTGGGCGGCCACGCGGTTGTGGAGGGAAGGATGTCGCCGTGTGCAGGGTCATGTGTGGCCACGCGCGCCGCCCTGAGCCCTGAGCGTGTGTCCATTTCCCAGAGGCTCCGCCGCACACGCCGGGCGCCTGGCTGCGAGCAGAGGGCTGGGAGCGTAGCTGTGCGGGCGGGTGCTCTCCAGGTCGGAGCCTGGTGGCTGGCTCAAGAAAGAAAGAATCACAAGTCGATGGCTGGAATGCAGCAAGCGTGTGCCACTCTGTTGAGCTACTGTTCCCTTTCTGCCCAGGAGTTGGTTTTTGTTTATTTTGTTTTAAGCGCCAGAGAATGGGGTGGGGAGTCTGGTTGTGAAAGAGAAGCAGGCACTGCTGGATGATTCTGAAGTTCAAGTTGTTTTCTCCCCTCATATGATCAATATCTGTGGCTGATCAATATCTGTCAGTATATGTTCACACACTGGTGCCACATGAACTGGGCATTTTGCAGGGATTCACGGAGGAGGAGGGGAAGAGAAAAAGGGAGGTGTTTGTGTAGGATAAACAGTGCACTCTTTCCTTCCTTTTCCTCTTTGTCTTGGTTTTTATTTGCTCCCCCAGAACCATATTTTGAAATCCTGATCCACACTCAGGGCCCATTGCTATTGTTTGGCCATTTTCCCTACCTCTGCCCCCCTGTATCTGCAGTGGGTCCCCCAGAAAGAAGTTTGATTTCATTCCCCGCCCCGCTTCTGATTCCTGGGAAAGCACACTTGCTGAGGTGGAGAACAGGGTTTCTCCTAGCTTCCGTGCTTTGCTGCAGGGAGGCACCTGTGGGTGTACTACACCTTCTATCCTTGTTGCAGTGAAAACAGAATAGACGCAGTCTGTTCATAATGAGGGGTTTGAGGCTGCCTCTCAGCATGGCCAATTACGGGGTGAGTTTTGGAGAGATTTTTTGAAAATTGCCATTGAGGTTTATTTGGGCATTCGGGGGTTGTGACTCTGAGGTGCTCAGGCTACCAAGAGACTAGAAGCAGCCCTGACTTGTGGTCCCTGCATGGGTTATATGACTGTGGACAAGGGGGCTGGAGAGAGTGGAGTCTCTTCATATGAAAATGCGTCCCTTTGTATGGTGTGTAGCCACCTGAGCCCCTCTCACGGTCCCTGGGCCTGCAGCTTCCACGTCGCGTGATGCAGTGTCCCCTAAGTGACTCCTGCTCCCCAGGAGAACCCACAGCCGCACCTCTGCAGTGGCGGGCTGCAGCCGAGGCTCAGTGAGCTGTGGCTTCATTGAGTTGCAGGAGCTGCTTGGGGATGACTGCGGTGCTTCCACCTCTGGGAAGAATGGGATTTGTCTTCTGGTGCAGGAGAGACTGAGAGCTCTTGCCAACAAACCTCTTGGATTCTGGCCATGTTCCCTGAGAAGTTGGGTATGGGTCTCTTTTGGGGTCCCAAAGCTTTGCCTTCAGCTTAAAAAAAAAAAAAAAGTCTTTGACAGGAGCTTCCCACCGAGGTCCTATAGTGCTGGCAGGAGTTCTAGAAGGACGAAACAAACAATAAAATGATCAAAACGTCTTTACTCACTGACATAATGATAATAGTAATTGTATGTGACTTTATTAAATGAAATCTATGTAGCAGACATCACACTAGTGCTTACATGTATTGTGTCATTTTACTATCATAATAACCTTATGAGATAGGTATTTACTATCATCCCCAATTGGCAGATAGGAAAATTGAGTCAAGAGAGAGAGAGTAAGAGACCTGCAAAACATGAGCTAGATACTAAGTGGTGTAGCTGATATTTGAATCTAGGCAGAATCACTCATGATTACCCATACGGGGTTGAACCACTTTGTGTATTATGTAATGCCAAATGTTTAATTACAATGTGACTTACTTTTAGTATTTGGAAAGCTAATCTTAATATTAATGTAAAGAAAACATAATTGTGGGGCAACCTGCTATCTAAATCTGTAACATTTCAAAGCTTTGGGGTTATCAACATTGTCTCCTCAGACTTTCTAGAACTGGTTTGAAGTTCAGGATGCCTGTTTCACCGTGGGTCTAAATAGAGAGGTAATTTCCAGTCCCTCAGTGTGGATGCTGAGCAATGAAATCTAGCATAAATCAAAGGCATCAACGGTTACGACTGGCATTCATTTCCAAGGTACTCTGCAGGCTCAGTCATTTTGTTTGTCACACCTTCACCATATGCCTTTAAGATCCTGAGGCAGAGAAACCCTGCCAGGAGCCAGACTGTCAGCTTGCAGTGTTAAAATGCTTTTCAAATAAAGCATTGTAAAGGCCTGACGAACACTCTGCCAAACTGTGTCATTTGATAGTTGGCTGCCTAACCCAGGTACCTTTCCTTGCAGAATGGAACCCTTACTGTTGAAGCTTAAGGGTCTAGCTATTTAGTCTGTGTGGTCCGAGGGCCCTTGCTGGAGGGTGAGGCCAAATGGGAATGAAGGCTTGCCCAAGAGGGTGGGAAACAATGCTAAGGAAGCAAAGGGCAACAGAGGGGAAAGGACCATCTTTGAGGTTTGGGCCTGGGTTAGCAGACACACCTCTGAGTCAGGCCTCACCTGTGGGCTGCAGGATGGCTGACTTTCAGAAGGAGTCCTGGAACCTAACCTTATCTCCTGATAAGGTGGTAAAGACTTAATTACTAGTTATTAATCAGTGACAGGTTTTCAGATCCTTGGCATACTACAAGAGCAGGTAAATGCTGTGAAACAGCAAATTGGGAGTGGTGAACATTTCTGTTGGTATATTTGCTGAGGCTCTCAGACCACTTCTGCTGTGGATATCTTTTAACAACTTCTGAAACAAGAAAATGAAAACATGTTGTTTGGGGAAGAACACACATGGGAAGAAAGCTTTGGTGTGGTGTCCAGCAAACACCCAGACTCCTGGAAGTCCTTCTGTAATTTCCACGTCAGGAACAGCATCTGAATAGAGAAGGCCTTAGCACTTGGCAGGATGCAGAAGGATTCTCCCTCCAATGGGCCCCATTTGCCCTGGAGTGCAGGAACTGGCATGTCCCAGAAAGCAATCTTCATCTCTGTAGGGCACCAATACATGCCTTTCTCAGACTGAACATGCTCCATGGAAATAACTGCTATCTGTAGGGGGCTGGAGCAGGCACCGTGGAGGATGTGAGCCTTGGTTCCTGGTCTGGCTCAGCCACTACAGGGTGTGTGACCTGTGGGCTGATTGGTCATTTGCCCGGCCTCCTCATCTCTAAAACCAGGGAGGCAGGAAAGGTGAGGTGATTTTCAAGTGTCCTGATGAACCTGAGATTTTTCAGGCTCGTCTGTATAAGGAAGGCACTTGCTATTGTTCTTCAGGAGTTTTCCATGCATGAGTAGGTAAAGCTGATTCCTGTGTAGAGGGGCAGTTTTATGTCCAAGCTAGAAGCAAAGTGAGATGGCTAAGTATAGGAAGTCTTGTCCAAGTTACTGTTAGGAGCATCGTGTGTTCTTTTTTCATTAAATGAGAGCCTGCTGGATGCTGCTTTAGGAAGGGTACAAATAGAAGTTCTGTGGGCAAGTACTGTCTTTTCCCACTAGTATAATATTTATATTCTTTATTCTGAAATTGATCATTCAGTACACCTGTGGAGGACAGATGATTGATTTATCTGAAGGCCCAGATGGAAAAGAGATTCAGCTGTATTTCCTATATGTAGGGATCGAGAGAGGGAGACTGCAAATCTACTTGAGGTGGTTTATGTATTTGACTGCCTGGATTTTTAGATAGTATGTATTTTGAGATTATTCTGAATTTCAGAGTCTGGGAGAAGTATTTGAAAGCATATTACCAAGAGGAAAATAAAGATGGGAAGTGCTTATATTTCTACCCAAGGTTATCCCAGCTGCAGTATTTATTAGAAGCTTGCGCCCCCCCCCCCCTTCTTTCTTTTGAAGCATGATATCAATTCAGCTTCGCATACATTTAGAAATATCTATTGCACACCTGCTATATTCTAGGCACTGGGTGGGGGTGTTTGGCACTGAATAAACAGATAAAAATGCCTGCTCTCCTAGAGCTTATTGGTGAGGAAGTTGGAAAATAAAAACTGTGAATAAGTAAAATGCAGATTGTGTTATATAGTATACACGTTAGGGGGAAATAAATCAGGAAAGGGTTTTTTTGGAGTGGGAGAGTTTGCAGTTTGAGGCAGGGAAGCTGAGGATGGCCTCACTGAGGAGCTGGCATTTAAATAAAGATCTGCCAGAGCCATGGGAGAGCTGAAAGTAGAATCTGCCAGTTGGAGGGAACAGCAAAGGCTGAGGGCCTGGTGGTTTTGAGGCCTGGTGTTCAAGGAGCCTTGAGTGGTCAGGGGGAGGAGAGCAGGAGCTGAGGTGAGACAGGCATGGCAGTGGAAGGGAAGTATGGGGAGCTCAGTAAACCTTATAGATCATAGGAAGGACTGTGTTAGCTCTAAAAACTTGGGGAACATTGGAGTGTTCTGAGCAGAGGAGTAACTTGATGTGACTTAGGTGTGTCCATCATAGCTGTGGTCACTGTGCTGAGGGACTGGTGGTCT